CAGCATGAAGGACAGGAACAGTGCATGTGATGTAGTTGCGAGGAGGGGAAAGGGGTGCGCCGGGCGAGTGGGTCGGGACACCCGGCGGGGTAGGGGGAGAGAGGGGAAGGGGTGCGCCGCCCCGCCCACCTAGAGAAGGCCCCGCCCATCTAGAGAAGGCCCCGCCCACCTGATCTAGGCCCCTCCCCGCCATCGCCCCGCCCACCTAGAGAAGGCCCCGCCCACCTAGAGAAGGCCCCGCCCACCTGGCCCCGCCCATCTAGAGAAGGCCCCGCCCATCTAGAGAAGGCCCCGCCCCCACCGCCCCGCCCACCTAGCGAAGGCCCCGCCCACCTGAAGTAGGCCAGGATGAGCACAGCCCGGTGAGGGAGGCCAGCGAGACGGAGTAGCCCACCGTGTAGATCATGTCCAGGCGGTCAAACACCTCCTGTCCGGGGGAGGCACGGGGTGAGGGGCGGAGGCCAGGTCAGGGGTGCTGGAGAGGTCAGGGCTCGGTCAGGGTCACCCATGGTGCGGGCGGGGGAGGCTCTCACCCGCTCACGAGTCTCGTTGGTCAGGAACTTGAGGCATTCGCTGTAGTTGGCCCACGTCCGGTCGTGTCCGGGCACCAGCTCCCAGCTGCCATTGCGGTCACAGCGACGGTAGGCGTGGCCTGCGGGTCCGCGGGAGGGTCAGGGGGGCAGAGGGGTCTGCAGCCACTGACGCCCTGAGCTGCAAGCCCTGGGGTCCCGAGGTCCCCCTATCCCGGCCGCCTTACCTTTGTGATTGAAGTCGTAAATGTAGTCGGGACAGGGCACCGCCACCAACTCGCCCGGCGCCCCCAGCGGCCAGCACAGGAGGTGGTCCCACTCAGGCAGGCAGGGGCGCCCTGTGCCCACAGACAGACAGACAAGGTGGGGACACCCGTCAAGTCCATGGTTAGTGACCAGCGGGATGAATGCACCTGGGTCGCTGGCTTCCTCAGAGACAGTTGCACCCCAAGACTGGAGAACTCAGGCCTGGAATGTTCTGGGGAGACTGTATTGAGCCCTTACTCCCTACATGCCCTGCACCTGCCTGGCCTCAGATCTCACTAACCCCCCGCTCCCCGCCGCACAGGTACTGGCACTGGCTAGGAGGCTGGCAGAGGCCAAGAGGGGCAGCGATTTGCTCGGGCAGAGAGCCCAAGGCCCTGCCCCTCAAGTGCTCAGCCTTGGCCAGGCCCCTCTCTTCTCTCTGGTCTTGGTCTCACTTCTTGGGGCCCCTGGAGAAGGTCAAGGTTCTGGACTAACCCCCTCAGCTGAGAATGCTTCCTACACGACCGCCGGGACCGAGGACAGGAGGCAGGTCTCATGGCCAGTGCCCGCCGGGCTCCTGCAGGGGTCCCCTGGCTGCACTGCAGTCTCTTCCCTGGGAAGTGGGCGTGGACCACATCGGCCGTGCTCCCCCCCCATCGGTGAGCGACTCCAGCGAACACGGGGAGAGGCCACCTCGTGCTCACTGCGGATTCGGATGGCAGGCAGGTACACGTCCCACTGGGGCGCCGGGCTCACAGCAGAGATGCTGTGTGACCTCAGAGGGTCCCCAGTTTCTGAATCTCCCCCTTTCCACACCCCCCCACTCGCTTCTCTCCCCTGCAGGGTTCCAACCCTGGGACTGTCCCGCCATCCTGGAAGGCTGCCTGGATGGTTGGCCCAGACAGAGGGCGTGGTGAAAGGCCCTCTGTCCTGGGCACCATATTCCCAGCCCCGCCTGGCCAGGCCCACAATTCCCTCTGGTCCCTGGGGAGCCACAGGGTGACCACAGCCTCCCAGATGTGGCCCATCTGGAATCTGCTGCCCACCCAGCCGGTTCAAACCGGCCCTGTGGCTGCAGCCTGGCTCTGCG